ACGCAAAACATCTTCAAAGTACAATACATTATTTCAAAATATATAATGAGAAATGTACTTTTCAGCGTTATAAGTCTTACCTACAAGTACTTCAGGACAAGCCAAATAAAATATTGTAGAAACACAAAGAAAGTATGTATCTGCCATAACTGTTATGACAATCTACTCACATGAAAATGAAATATGTTAGAAAATGCACTCAAAAGCTGCAGAATGCTTTGATTTTTTACAAAAACTACTTGCACAAAGAATGAGCTTCCAAAGTCTTTAAAAATAATTAAAACGCGCTTGATCAGTATGCCACGAAGAAAAGCAATTTCGTGATGCGAAGCACAAGTAAACATTGCAGATGCGGCAGTACACATTTGTTTTGTGCTCAATCTTGTCGTTCTGGTAGCATCTTTTGCAGTTTCGGCGCATTTTTTTTCTCTCAGGCTTGTGCTGGACATTTGCAGGGGCAGGAGGGGTGTGATCTGGGGCCGTATCCTCAATTTCAAAAAGTTGCCGAATCAATTCCATTCTAAAACTGAGCTGATCATAACCAGATCCCCTGGAAAGCTCTGGTGTCGGCATCCACGCGTATTTGTTCGTGTTCAGGCAGATCGTCGCTAAAACTTCCACGGTGAAAAAAAGCCGGAAGAAGTCGACAGCTTTCGAGAACCGCTTCGGGCCGCTTCGGAGCGTCAGTCCGCTTCGGAGCGTCAGTCCAAGATCGACGCCCGGAGTCCTACTTGGCCGAAACTCGATTCTTCTTTGAGCTTGGGGAAGTGAATCCCGTCCATATGATGTCGAGACACTGCAGGCAACAGAAATATTATTCATGACATTAGCGCGGCGCGTGAACTGGCTTGAGGAACAAGCAAAGAGGCAATGAGCAGGAAACGAAACTTACGGGCAGTGAGCTGCCGACGTTCCGGGCTGAGGTTCGTCATCGGAGTCAAAATCCGACGATGCAGGATCATCGTCAGGGTCACTGCTGCTTGACCCATCGACAAAATCAGCAATAAATGCAGTGGAATCGCGTAAACGAGGAGTTTTCTGAGCGCGCGTCGTCCCCGAAGTTGACGCCATGCCGCGCGCAAACCGCCTGAAACCTTGAATTCAAGTGCATTTCGAAATTCGCTGCCTCGCAGGAAAAATTAAAACTACACAGAAAACGAAACTTTAGTGTCTAAGCAACCCACGAAATGGCGCAGCAAGTCCACGGCCGCGCTGGTAGCGCTGAAATAGCGCTTCGCGTCCGTCGATCACCGGTGATCGATGCATATTGCCGTGGTAAGGAAAGAGTTAAGCAAACTTCAGAAAGAATGGATGCCAATTGTGAACCTGTTCACACACCTTTTTTCAGAACAAATTCTCTTCCTTCAAAACCTACAGCAGTGACCAACATATACCTCTCCAATAACACCAAGAAGCCACTTATGCCTATGCTGTAACGTGACTGAAACTTAACTAAACCTAACTCGAGCCAATCCCTCGCACGTTGCAACAACACAAACCTTGTCCAATGAATAGTACAAGTCCAAAGATGCCACTCTGCAATCTTTGCGCTGAGACACCTCCAAGATTTCCACCAACTCTTCTGAATTCCTGAGCGAAAGTGGGTTTTACAATGGCCAGACCGAAAGCACTTCCTTCACTCTTTCCCTATAACAACTATTCCCCAATATGAAAACTGTGAACGAGGCTTTCTTCACAGTGTGCTACACTAACAAGAAATTTTTATTTTTTGCTACTATAAAAACAAGGGTGACATCTTTGGCGACTCTGAGCATGAGCGTCAGGCAAGGGTCACCAGCACTGCCGATGATTTTACTTTTCCTATGGCGCATCTGAGAGTGCCTTGAAATTCCAGCGGGAGGAACAGCGTGCCAGCTGAACACTCGGCAACCTCGCAGCGCTACGACTCAGAGGACGGAGCCAGCCGGCACTTTGAGAGAGCTGTAAAAGTGCTGGCAGAACATACTTGGGGTACCCTACTTAATCCTTTCAGACGCCAATCGTTATTTCCGGAAAGAAAATTTTTTTTTTTTGTGTCTGAAATATCAATTTACAACCAAATGAGACGAAATCATGTGCAACTTACAAGAAAATCATTATAGTTTATTTTTTACAGACATGTACGCAATTGTGTACAAAGCATCTCAAAGGTCATGAAATAAGGGGGCTTTCAAACATGAAATCTGTAAAAGCAGTTGCGGTCCTTCGTCAGGCAAAGGGGGACGCGGCACTTCTTACAGAATATTCAGGAGCTTCCTCTGCATCTTTCATGCTTGCACCTTAATGGGACTGCTTGATCTCGAGCTTCTGGCCAGTGATCCACGCCATCGTAACGGCTATCCGAGCATGGCCGCTGGATGCGCGCTGCCTTCTTGTGCGGAGGATCCATGGGAGCATCTTCAATTTCTTTTGATGGCCTGCCACGCTTTCTCTTGCTTGGCACAGACGTGATGAGGGCCTCCGCAATCTGCAGGCGGAAATGCATGAGCTCCAGTAGCCTTGACCTCCGCATGTCCAGGTGATCCTGTATGTACTCTAGCCAAGCATTATATGCAGCAATGTCTACAAAATGAAAGTGCTCTTAGCGTCCACTTCCTTGATTTGATTTTGATCCGGTACAGGCTAAGCAGGAAGTCCATCTTGTCGACGCCTCCCATATTCCGGTTGTACTTCGTAATTACTTCCGGCTGCTCTACAAAAATGTGTTCACGCTTGGCCTTGTCCCATCTTCTTACCTGCTGTTGGTTCCCGATTCCAATGAAGTTGGAAGCTGCACATACGCTGCTGTTGTCCTTCCACGAAACCACAACAATATCGTCACTTGTGACATACTCAGTGGAGTATCCTCACGTTTTCTTTTTCATTGCTTTAGCTGGTTCAAGAGGACACTTGCCCAGCCTGTTACTCTGCACAGTCCCTGCGGCGAGAATCTTTTCGTTTCGCAGTTTGCGGAGGAGCGGCTCTGACGTAAAATAATGATCAAAGTAGAGTTGATAATTACAGCCAGTTGGGATTCTTTTAGACAGGTGTACTACAACACCAGAACAAAGGCCGTAGTCTTTCTTCAGCTCAGCGGGAATTGTGCTTTCTCACTGATAAACCGCAAAGTCGTAAAGCAGGCCGCTCCTACCGCAGAGAGCGAATACTTTGATCCCCTAAGGGGTCGGCTTGCCTTTGACATACTGTTTGATGGAAAGTTGGCCTTTGAAGGGAATCATCTGTTCATCAATTGACGATTCTTGTTCAGTGGCAAGCTTCAAGCACCGCTGCCTTATCTGATCTAAGAAAGGGCGCACTTTCCACAGGCGATTGTCGTTTTGTTCGCCAGAAGCTTCAGCTGCAATATGCAGAGTGTTGCGGAGCTTGAAGAATCTTTTCTCAGACATGGTCTCGCTGATCAAGGGAACTTTCATGATGGGGTCCCAGTAGAGCCTGACGCGAGGCAGAGCAATGACACCCATCAGAATATGGATACCAAAAAGCTTCCTAATTTCGTCAGCTGTCGTGTTCACATTATTGTGGGTTTCTTGGACGCTGTAAAGATTCCTCTGTTCCGCCATGCACTTGAAAATGGATTCTGGCACATACCTTGAAAAATACGTGTGCGGCGTACACGTTTCATCCGGCTCAGGTAGGCAGTCGCCGTGGCCGCTGAAGTCGATATTTGGTGGGGGGTCGAATCTTCTCTTTTTCCACTAAAAGTTCTTCACAACATTTTCCTCTGGACCTCTGTCTTGCAATAGTGGAGTCTGGTGCACATTTTCTTCGTTTTCGCATCCAGAGGTTATGCTCTCATCGATTATTTCTTGAGCAATGTCATCTTCGTCATCGCTTTCACTGACGTCGGATGTGTTCCCGGAAGCAATCTTTTCTAGTAATCGGTCGGCCGACTCTTTTGTCGCAGCATGGGGCTTTGCTTTATAAAAAGATGTGCAAGGCACTTTCAGAAAGCCTGAAAAAGTCATAATGCGGAACATTAGGCAGCGCAGCGGCGTAGAGTTTCCATTTTCCCGGGGGGGGGGGGGGGGGCAGACACGGAATGTGGCTCAAAAAAAAAAAAAGGGGGGGGGGGGGGGAGAGAGGAGAAGGTCCTTGTTTTATTTGTTCCGTGGGTTCTCCCCATAAGGGTCACCTGCAGCAGTCGGAGCCTTTACCGAGCATTTTGGTAAACCCGAGACTGGAGAAAAAGGGACAAGGACATAAACAAACGGACACGGACATTGTGACAGCTAACTACCTGGTGTCCCCAAATAAGACGCTCCGCAAAAGAATGACCCGGAAACTTCAGCGGTTTGACGCATCCAGTAGAAATTTCTCTGAATATGTGTTTTACTGGCCACATTTATGCAAACATATTGCAAGACTAAACTACCAGTACAAAAAAGCGAATCTTTTTTTTTTCTGCAGGGGTAGTTCGGGTCTAAAATTTTGTTGCATAAATGTGACCAGTAAAACACGTATTTCAGGAATATTCCTACTTGTTGCACCAAGGATCTAAATTTTGCGGGCCATTTTGTGTGTAAAGTGTATTTTGAGATGCCCATATAGTACCAAACTCCCCGAGTGGATACGCAGGCGCACCAAAAGTGTTAATTTTGAAAATGGTGAACAGGAGAAAATGAATCTGCTGTAACCAAAATATTTTAATATTTTTATTTTCGTGTGGTACATTTATAATGAACAGACACACGAGGCACACGTTGAGCAATTCTCAATGCAACGGTTACAAAATGCTTACAATTAAAAAAAAAAAGTATAGAGCAAACATACAAGCATTAACGACGTATCTGCTCGCGCATTTCATCGTACACTGCTGTTTTTGTTTTGTACATTTCCTTAACGTGCTCACTCACAAAAGCAGGAAGTAAGAAAAAGAAACAGAATGAACAGATTGTAGCAATGAGAACACGTGCATAAAAGAGACAGATAATTTCAGCCTTTCGCGGAAGCACGCAAGTTAAAATAAGAATTCTTCCAAATAACTTATTACAGAAAGAATAAACAGAAAGGACGGACAAGGACGGACATCTTTCGACTTTCAACAACATGTAGCGTTCTTTATTAGAAGTTGGCATCGAGATCGGTGAACCTAGAGAAAAAAAGGGGGGGAAGGAAAGGACAAGTGACAGAAGGGAGGGAGAGGGAAGAGGGAAAGGAGTAAAAGGGGGGAAGGAAAGAGAAAGTGAAACAAGGGAGGGAGAGGGGGAGAGAGAATCGGGGCAGCGGAGGAGCGAGGAATTGTTAGCCCAGTGGGACAAGAAGGGGGGTCGGCATGAGAAAGTCGGGAAGTTGTTAGCCCGTTAAGATTAGGAGGAGGGGAAGGAGAAGAGGGGTCATCTCGAGACACAGAGCGGCGCCGCATCACCGCACTGTCAGGGAGCAAGGGCCCCCCGGGCCCGCGTCAAGGCCGCAAGTTGGGGGCGCAAATAAGCCGCCTCCCTCTCGGAAAGGACAAGCGAGGGAGACGAAATGTTTTGAGATGCCTGCTGCATGGCGTAAGCTTCAATTATCTCGCGTCCGTAGCGGTCTCTATGTGAGCCCAGGATCCGCGCGTTGTGAAACCGGGGCTCACACGAAGAACATGCGCCTCTATGGCGGAGAAAGGGATGCTGGGACTCAATGTCCCCTTTTTTTATTTCCCTGTCGTGCTCGCCCAGCCTGTCATTCACGCAGCGGCCCGTTTGACCGATATACTCGGCGCCGCACGACAGGGGAATGGAGTACACGCGTCCAGTTGCGCAGGAAATGAAGGGTGTTTTGTGTTTCTTTGCACACCCTGCTCGTGAACGGCGCTGGGGGTCGTTCACGAGGCGGCACATGGAGCCTAATCGGAACCGGCATGATAAGGCCACATCGACATCATACCGGCGGGCCGCTGCCCTCAGGCGATGTGATGTGCTGTGGTGGTAAGGTATTACCGCAAACTTTTTTGGTCGAGGCAGTCTGGCGCGGTCGGGGTGAGGCTGGGAGATTAGAGACTTTAGGGATGTCACAAGGAGGTCGCGTGGATAGCCCGCCTTTCGGAGGCGACAGATTTGGGCGGTTAAGCTGGTTTGAGAAAAGTGGGAGCAAGATTTGGTACGGGATGAGGAAAGGAGGGATCTTACAATTCCGGACTTCACAGTTTTTGAGTGGTTGCTTCCGAACGGTAGAACGGGCTTCTTGGTCCGCTGCTGGAAACCCCAGCAGAGTCCATTGGGATTGGTGTGCAGGCGCAGATCGAGGAACTGCAATTCCCCGTCCGAAGGGTCCTCACTGGTGAACTTGAGGCCTTGAGAGTGGGTTGAGAAAACCTGCTCGATGGAGGCGGAAGTGGTGCCGGCTGTGTGGAGTACGAGGTAGTCGTCAACGAACCGAAATACCTTGGTTCCCGGCGCCTCGACGCCGAGCTCCCTCTCCACAGCCAAGTCCACCGATGACATGTAGAATTCGCTTAGAACAGGGGCCAAGCAGGAACCGATGCAAACGCCTGACTTCTGCCTGTAGATGTTCCCTTGGTGTTCCACAAGGGTGGATCTTAGGTATACGTCGACGAGCCGTAGGAACGCCTCGAGTGTGATGCCAGTTGAGTTTTGGAACTTGGCCACTCCGGATTGCGTGACAGCCCGTTCAATGCAATCCATCAGAACCACCACGTCGAGGCTGTAAAACATGTCGGTGACATCGAGGGAAAACATGGCGACGTCCGGCCCAGCTGAGTGCAGTTCCCGGAGATATGGCAGAACCTCGAGGGAACATCCGACCCGAAAAGGCTGATCTAGAGGGACAGCTGTCAAATGTTTCTGAAGGAAGAGAGCCAGGTGCCTCTGCCAGCAGCCGCTCTCGGATACAATGCCTCTGAAAGGGGTGTTCTGTTTGTGTGTTTTTGCCGTGAAGAAAACCCGCAGGTACTGATCCGATGGTTTTGACAGTTTGTTGAGAAGAAAGGTGAGCTTGTTGGCTTTGCAGATAGTTTTGGCCTCTGTGCGGAGAGACCCCGATGGTCTGGACTTCATTTTCGTGAAGTTTTTGTCGAGAACTGCACCCAGTCTGTTGTTGAAGTCCCCGGCGGTCATAACAACGAACACACCCGTCTTGTCAGCCTCCAGGAGTTTCAGCTCTGAGCGCCTGAGCTCGTCAACCACCTCCAAAAAGTCCAGTTTTGAAGGTGGAGCCCTCCCGTATCTGCACACCACCCGCGAACCCGTCGCGAGGAAATCCTGTCGTTCAGGTTCAGGAATTTTTTAGGCGACTTGGTGAACAGCAGCCAGCTGGTCGATTCGCGACGGTTCATACGCTGGGGCAAACTTCGGGCCTCTTGAGAGAACTGACTCAGCATTTGCCGAAAGGGTGGTGTCGGAGAGGTTGAGAGGAGGTTCCAGCGCAGGGCTCTGATTAACTCGCTTTTCTGCGGTTGCGGAGGAGATGATAAGCTTCCAAGAAGACTCCAGGAGGAGGTGGGCAGACTTGCTGAGGAAGACATAGGAGGGATGAGTGGCGAAGTTAGTACCGAAAATAGACGTCATGAGACATGGGAGGGACCTCTGCATCACCAGGATCTCCTGCGACACCTCCTGTCTTGCAATCTGCATCACTCTGTAGTTCGCCGCCCAACGCGACGAGGAGAAGCCAAATACCTGATGTATCGCAGGGTGGGTGATGTTCTTGCGAAGGCAGAGACCGAGAGTCCTCAGGCGTAGGCGAAGGAGGAACATTTTTGACACGAATAATGAAGCTTGAAGGAAGGTGACAGGATCAAAGTCCGAGGGCCCGACGCCTGGCACTTCTGGACGTGACGAACACATGGCTCTCAAAAGTAAGATATAGTTAAACGTGAGCGCGTTGGTATTGATGACTTATTACAGAAAGAATAAACAGAAAGGACGGACAAGGACGGACATCTTTCGACTTTCAACAACATGTAGCGTTCTTTATTAGAAGTTGGCATCGAGATCGGTGAACCTAGAGAAAAAAAGGGGGGGGAAGGAAAGGACAAGTGACAGAAGGGAGGGAGAGGAAAGAGGGAAAGGAGTAAAAGGGGGGGAAGGAAAGAGAAAGCGAAACAAGGGAGGGAGAGGGGGAGAGAGAATCGGGGCAGCGGAGGAGCGAGGAATTGTTAGCCCAGTGGGACAAGAAGGGGAGTCGGCATGAGAAAGTCGGGAAGTTGTTAGCCCGTTAAGATTAGGAGGAGGGGAAGGAGAAGAGGGGTCATCTCGAGACACAGAGCGGCGCCGCATCACCGCACTGTCAGGGAGCAAGGGCCCCCCGGGCCCGCGTCAAGGCCGCAAGTTGGGGGCGCAAATAAGCCGCCTCCCTCTCGGAAAGGACAAGCGAGGGAGACGAAATGTTTTGAGATGCCTGCTGCATGGCGTAAGCCTCAATTATCTCGCGTCCGTAGCGGTCTCTATGTGAGCCCAGGATCCGCGCGTTGTGAAACCGGGGCTCACACGAAGAACATGCGCCTCTATGGCGGAGAAAGGGATGCTGGGACTCAATGTCCCCTTTTTTTATTTCCCTGTCGTGCTCGCCCAGCCTGTCATTCACGCAGCGGCCCGTTTGACCGATATACTCGGCGCCGCACGACAGGGGAATGGAGTACACGCGTCCAGTTGCGCAGGAAATGAAGGGTGTTTTGTGTTTCTTTGCACACCCTGCTCGTGAACGGCGCTGGGGGTCGTTCACGAGGCGGCACATGGAGCCTAATCGGAACCGGCATGATAAGGCCACATCGACATCATACCGGCGGGCCGCTGACCTCAGGCGATGTGATGTGCTGTGGTGGTAAGGTATTACCGCGAACTTTTTTGGTCGAGGCGGTCTGGCGCGGTCGGGGTGAGGCTGGGAGATTAGAGACTTTAGGGATGTCACAAGGAGGTCGCGTGGATAGCCCGCCTTTCGGAGGCGACAGATTTGGGCGGTTAAGCTGGTTTGAGAAAAGTGGGAGCAAGATTTGGTACGGGATGAGGAAAGGAGGGATCTTACAATTCCGGACTTCACAGTTTTTGAGTGGTTGCTTCCGAATATGTCAAATAATGCTACGGAAAAGACCCGAGAAAAATATGTATGCTTCACATTTAAATTTGATCAGCGTCCAAATAGTTGGATCGCGAGCACAGCATTTGACACTTCACAGTGGTGTTTTACACTCTCAGAACACACAAATAAAAAAACTATTGCAGTTCTTCGATTCTATACAAATATAATCTATACAAATAGATAAAAACAAATATAGATACACACGACTGAGAAAATAACAAGCTTCAGGAATGGAAGATATTTCAGAGCGTATTCCCGAGAAGAGTGGTCTTAGATTTCAACATGAAACGTGTTTTCTCTAACTACCGTTCAATGAATGAACTCGTTAGCCACAAGATCTAGATCCACTTGCCTAGCGAGCTCTTTGTGGCAGTGGAGCAAGGCGGTATGGTTGAGTCTGGCCTGTCCCATTGTTGAGCGCAGGTAAGTTTTAACTCTCCGGAGACACGAGAAAGATCTTTCTGACGAACAGGAAGTCACAGGAATCGTCATTGCGATTTGTAGAAGCTTGACAACTTCTGGAAGGAGCACCCTCAAGGATTCACCTGCTTTTCCCGAAAGAAGGTCCACCACATCTTGAAATGTGACAAGACTCGTTGCACGTTGCTTTGCTATGTCCAGTAACATATCGCGGTGAAGCTGAAGACGCACAGCGTTGAGATCTCCTTTACAGAATTCGCAAAGGTACGTGCTGTCAGTTTCACCTGTTACGAACTGCTCTACTTGCGTCATGTGATGCCACATTTCTGGCGGAAACCGCGTGCGCAGCGATGCATGCACCGTGTCGATGACTAGATAGAACCATTGCCGGTAGAAAGCTTCCGGGGAATTAAAGTCATGAGCGTGCGATCCTTCATCATATCGACGTGGTGCCTGCCGCGTTCTCTTCGGAACGCTTGGGGCCCCAATCTCCATTTCACGTTCTTCATCCGACACATCGGCCCAGAAGCTGGAGAAGTCCTCGCGGAGTTGACCGATACTCTCTTCAACAGCCTTAACTAAAAGCTCTGCTCGGGTGAACTGTAAGCTCTTCTTTTGGAGAGCGGTGTTTACACTTTCCAACCTCTCAAAGACAAGGAGCATAAGCCTAAGTAGAAAATAGGTGTCAAATTTTTTAAGCGTTTTCGCGTACCCACTCGCTTTGGCTCCCGTGTCATTTTTTTCTTCCGATGAAAGAGTGAAAAGGAATTTGGTTAGTTCGGAGTAGTTACTGGAGACCGACCGGAGCGAGCATGCCTTTAACGTCCACCTAGTTTTGCAAAACTGTCTGAGAGCAGGGTTTTCCTGTTTCTGAAACTGCTGGAACCAGCTGAGACGTTTTGGGGATGTTTTAACAAAATTGACGAGGTCCGTAAACAAGCTAACAAAATCCCGACAGACATCAATTTTCGTGCACAGATCTTGCAAAGACAGGTTCAGTGTGTGCGCAAGGCAGTGCACATACAAAGCCCTTGGTTCGATGTCTTGAACTAGGGCCTGAAGCCCACCGCTCTTGCCAGAAACATTTGCAGCTCCATCATAGCATTGACCACGGCAGTTCTATATCCGAAGATTGAACCGACAAAGCACGTCTTTCAAAATGGAAAAGAGAGTACGGGCTCTGGTGTCCGCTGTTGCATAAAATCCAATGAATACCTCCTCCACTTCTAAGTTTTCCTTAGCATACCGAAGGCAAAAGGATACTTGCTCTTGCGTAGTTATGTCAGAAGTTTCATCAGCAATAACAGCATAAAACCCTGTCTCGTGCACTTCTTTCATTAAGACATCGACATACAGCCTGTTTGTCGTAGTCCGCCGTCCCACCTGGCGGACACGACGAAGAACACGGGGACAAGGAAATTTGTTTCCTAGTGGGACTGGAGTTGTCAACAAAACACTTCAAAATACACAGACAAACGGAGTCGGACGACACGGTTTTCGTGTTTCGCTCTTTGGGCGAAAACGCTTCGACAAACATGGTTGAAGTGGAGACGGCTATTTTTCTCTTCGAATAATTTATTAAATAATCGATCACGGGCGCGACGGAATGACCATCGACACTGATACCACTGATCAGTGGGATTTCAAGTTTTCAACGGCCAGAATCGTTTTTTGTGCGAAAAGCCTACTCGCACACCGCACGAACGATGGCCGCGAATGGTGTCGAATTCGATTCTGAATTAGAAGGTATCTTAATACAAATGATCGAGGATCGCCGGTTCCTGTGGGATATCCGACATCCAGACTACCATAAAAAAAACTTAAAGGAGCGGGCCTTCGCCGACATCACGGGCGCCTTGGGGTTCGGCGACAGGAGTGAGTACTCGTTTATCTTTTTGCTCCCGATGTCAGAAATCATCAAAAAGATCCAGAGCCGCAATAGACCTATTGCTAAATTACCCAAGCATCGAGCAGAACGCAGGGATTGGTGTTCCACGCGCCGCATGTGCTGGACTCGGCGGTAGTAACTTTTCTAATGCAAATGCCTAAAACAAATTGCATCTTGCACGCGCGTTCGTCAACTCTTTATTTTGGTTATTACTTCAAATGCTTTATACGGGGAAGGCGTGCACGTGGAACACTAATTTCTGTATTCTCCTTGATGCTTGGGTAATTTAGCAATAGATCTATCCTTACCGCACGACGGCCGCATTTTTGGTGCTCGCGGAAGCAGTGGCGAAGGCAGGAAGATGGTTTAGGGAATCCCCCCCCCTTCTTTTTCTGAAAATATTTCTTTAAAATCTTGTTTAGTAAAGGAACACAAATATTGGATGACTACCGAATTGCTCTACCTAGCCGGGGGGTTGGGGACGGCCGTGTTCGTACCGGTGAATTGTACAGTACATCGACTACTACAAGCAAAGATGAGACAAAGCCCCCCCCCCCCCCCCCACCTCCCTCCCTCCCTTCCCTTCCCTTCCCCCCCCCCCCCCCCCGCCCCCTTAGTCATAACAATCCCAACCCGTCCCCGAAAATAATTCTCGACTACGCCACTGCACAGAAGTAAACATCTCTTTAGATCAGCAGACACACCAGTTTTATTCAAGAATGACTGAGTAAACACATTAGCATAAATTTCTGAGATTTGACATCAACACACTTTGGAGCATTCAACACCTCAAAATTGTGCTGCTGTTTGTGAAGGTGTCATAATTTTGTTTCAATACATTGCAGTTGACAAAGTAAAGAACAAGTGGACGAACCTCCGGTCCCAGTACCAGAGAGAGAACCGGAAGGTAAAAGACACGCAACGCTCTGGTGCTGGGGCCGACGATGTCCATGTCCCAAAATGGGTGCACTTCAAGAAAATGAAGTTTTTGTCCGGTGGTGCACCGGAAGCTCCAAGTGAGTCGACTGCCGAGGCGCCTGAAGCAGTACATGTTTCCCAAGAGGATATGGTGAGTGCCTTAACCGAGGGGACTTTTCCCCCTTGACCGAGAAAAGTTGGTGCTTGCAGCATATATTTCGGGGGCCCAGGATCGCTAAAAAATCGAGTTCATGACCAAACTGTATGACGCCTACGGTGCCCAAATATTTAGCTCCACGACGGAGAGGAGTACTCATTACATATGGCCATATATTTGCCAAAAGGTGCTGCAGATCTGCATGCTATAGCCCTCACACAAAAATTGAGAAAATTATATTTAAAAAAGCACTTAAAAGATTATTATAATACCCATCACTGTTGATGTCAGCACCTCCAAATATGGGAGGATTGCAGCAGTGTTCCATAACAACTGCAGAGATATCTTGTCTCACTGAGTGTATGAGCCCCTCCCTATGCCTTAGGTTTTACTTCGGCAATTAGTACCTTGTGGAATCATGATGGCCTTGTTAACTACACATGTTAAACTGTTTTTGTGAAAAACTGCATGTTACATACACTAAAAGTCCAATATTTTGTTTAACACTTGTGTGAAAATCTGCACATAACATCCACTGAAAGTTCTCTTTAGTTCAACACTTGCAAATGAAAGAAAAGGATAAGATGCAACACAAATTGTCTGCAGGATTCCTGCCACGTGCCCGATGACTACAGGTCCGAAGACGAAAGTCCACCACCTGAGGCACCGGCCAAAAGGAGCCGCCGTCACAGCACGGAGGAACTGGCGACAAACAAGGCGGCACTGCTGCAGGCAGCTGTAAACAGCCTCAAGTCTGCCAGGGAGGTGGAGCCTGATGAGTGTCGGGGCTTTGGCCTGATGATGGAGGGGCTTGCTCGGACGATACCAAAGGGTACCAGCAGGCAGCTGGGCATGCTTGCCGCGCATAAGGCCCTCGTGGAAGCAGCCATATCTTCACAGGTCGTTGTGGTGGCTCTGCCAGAATAAAGGAAGTCTCCATATGAGCTCTCTTCATGTTTACTTGTTGAGTAGTACAAGACACCCGTGATTTCCCTACCGACCCCCTAGGGGGGGGGGGGGGGAGGGGGGGGTGTACACCCCCCCTTATGGCCAATTCGTCTGGACCCGTATCGCGCGATGCAGTGCGGTTCGTCGTACACGGAGGGCTATAGGCGAGAGGGAAGCGTCCTTCTCTCCCCGCCAGCCTTTCGTGTATAAAGTGGAAAGAGTTTAGTGCACTGGACGGGTGCGGTGCGGAATCCCGGACAGAAGCTCACCCATTTTTTAAAAGACCCGGACAAAAGCTCACCAGGAAAAAATTTCGAGTTGGTTTTATAGAGAAACCAAGTTTAGAGAAAAAGGCGATAAACCTCCTTTTAGCGAATTCGGCCACCGCGAAGCGGCGTGTATGTATAAGTCAGGTGATTTAACATTTTTGTAATGAGCCGCCGCAGACTGCCGCCGGCGAAGCGGCAGAAGCACAGCAGGGGGTTTGGATTAATACACCAGTAATACACGCGCAAAGTAGAAAAGCCTTTTTTAAGTAGCGTCCCCATTTCGATAAACGGCATATCTCTAAACTGAGGCTCTGCTTTCTCTAAACCGTGCCTCAATAAAACGTGCCCGTTCTCTAAAACATGTTTCGACGGAATGGCATTCGATCAACCGTAGTAAACCCTTGCGTGGGATGGGGCACAAGTTCACCTAAATATGGTGCAATGTCCATTGCGTCCACATTTTATTTCAGTCCGTGTTTTGCCCGGGTAGCGAAAAAAAAAGAGGTGAGCTTTTGTCCAGGTCTGTGAAAAAAACGGGTGAGCTTTTGTCCGGTGAGCTTCTGTCCGGTGAGCTTTTGTCAGGTGAGCTTTTGTCCGGTTACCACGGTGCGGGCCCAGACGAATTGGATATTAGTTTGTCTGATGGCACCCATGAAAACCCTCCTCCCCCCCTTTCCCTCCCTCTCTCTCCCCCCAGACACACACCCTAATTTTAATTCCTGGGGAAACCACTGCCAGACACTTTCTCGTAAGTTACATTCAGTGCAGGGAAAAGGTACAGATCAGTGGATGTAGATTTCCAGCAGAACATCACCTATTTATTAATCTACACCACAACATACTTATCCAAAATTTGTTTGGATAAGTATGGATAAAAACAAAGAACAGATCTCAGCTCAGAATCCATAACCACCCAAGCTCTGTTAATTTACTGTTACTGTATTCCATTAGCTATCAAAAAAATGCTCGGTATTACTTGTAATATGTGTCAGATTCCTATACATTGGAAAATAAGGAAATCTTATGGCATTAGAGAAATGTGGGGGCCATCCTTTTCGTGGATTGTGAAGTAGCAAAGCTTGGAAGAGACTGTCTTAACAAATGACACATACCATTACTTCAGTAACTTCCACTGCCAAGAGACTTGGCCTTCATCCCAGAAGTACTCCTTGAAGACCGTCCGAACGGCTTTGGCGTCGGTTGATGGCTTGCCGCCAATGCGTTGCACAGGGAAGACTACCTTGTCGTTCACGTCTTTCCTCCATGTGCCACCGCGTACTGTTCCTGAAGTAGAGCAAGAATAAAAAGCATTTTGTAAAATGGAATAGGCATATGCTAACAGTATATGAAATTAAATCCTCATTGGGCGCGCTAAGTTTGCACTCGTTTACTCCTACTCCGACACTCCAATTTTCAAACTCCAAACGCAGCAGCTAAATGGAGCATAGATACGGGAGTGCAACACACCGAAACTATAGACGAG